GCTTTGGGTCATGTTTTCATGTATTTCTTACGAGGTGGTTTACCATGGCAAGGATTGAAGGCTGCTACCAACAAGCAAAAGTACGAGAAGATTGGTGAGAAGAAGCAAACGACCGCGATCAAGGATCTTTGTGATGGTTTCCCCGAGGAGTTCAACCAATACTTGAGCTATGTGAGGAACTTGGGTTTCGAGGATACACCAGATTACGATTACCTGCGGGATCTCTTCACTCAGGCTTTGAAGAACAGTGGTGAAGTTGAAGATGGAGAGTATGATTGGATGAAGTTGAACAATGGCAAGGGATGGGAAGCTATGAAGCAACATCCATCTCAACACATGCTACACCAACCAAATGCTGTCCCAGGGGCCTCGCAAAGAGAACTACATGGAACAACTCGAGGGGGGAACACAACACCAGGTCACCTCACTGCCGCCCGTTTAAACGCCGCACAACCCCCGCCACCATCTCCGATAAAACCGGGGATGGGCAAGTCTCGCGACCGGCAAAACGCCCCAGGTGCGTTAGCCCCGAAACGCAACAGCGGAGTGGCGGGGGGCCTTCAGGATGCATCTACACCAGCAGGCTCAACTCAAGCCCAATTCCAGAACAGCTCAAACAATTTACCTCAAAGGATGAGCACGGCCCAACAATCACCACTGAACACCAACGGGAGAGGACCATCAGAACAGCCACAACCAACGGCAATGCAAAAGATCATGAAAGCTCTGTGCTGCGGTTAGTATGCGTCTGTATTTTCTCTGCAACATCAACCATTCTAACATGTGACTAGGTTGAGCACTTGTCCATAATTCATTTTTCATTTCAAAGAACTTTTTACGCCTCGACTCTTTCACTTTCCATGCCGTCTTCATATTGAATGTCGGTTATAATGAACACCTCAATTTACAAATCGTTTCAAATAAGATCATGTACCGGAGTTGCATCAGTTTGACCGCCAAGTCGTTTCTTAAAAAGCCTCATCTTTGCTTTTGTGGTTACATACACCTTTTTCCACGACTTTGAAGCTGGGTTTGAAACACGAAACTACATCATAAACAAAATACCTTCGGTTGGCATTTGGAATTTGGCATCTGGCATTTGGGACTTCTTCAGCGAAGCACTTCAAGACTAATAATTGTTTTTCTTACATTTTCCCTCTCCGTCTCACACCTCTATCTCACTCACCCATCCAAAATATTATTCTTTGGCATCACATGTTCCCACTTTTCTCGTCGAATCACATCATGGCTCTCCTACGTACCAAGAAACGTTGGTCTTTAATTCAATGTTCCCAAGGAAAAGAAGTTTGGAATGGGTAGTGGGGGACACTTTTTACGATGTATAGCTTTTTGACCCGTTCTCTTTATTTTTCCATCTTACTTCTTTGGAGCGAGCGGAGTGTTACGTCTTTTTTTTCAGTGACACTGTAGCAATGGCGAATTGGGAGTGTGGTGTGTGTTCGTTTTTTTCCTCCTTGTCTGCGTGTTGTGGTGAGAGGGTTGCTACATTAGATGCATATGGGGAAGTTGATGGGGTGGATTGAGAGATGGGATGGGAGGAGATTCCTTTTCTTGTATGTTCTGATGGATGGAATGGATGGGCTGCATGTCATCACTCTTTTCATCTTATTTCAGTAGCAACGAATGAGAGAAAAATGTGTATGTGGAAAGAAAAGTAATGGGGTCTGTTTTTTTTCTTCTCTTTTTTTTCTGAACCGTGCGAAACAAAAGGGGTTGAATCTCATATCAGCATCAGGCAAATCAATCAATCAATCAAATCAAATCACAATTAAAACAGAGAGATGGGTTAGCAGAGTAGATGGAACAAAAATGATAATTTAATGGAAGTTGTTGATAATGGGATCTTGGATCTTTTGGTGTGTAGATTTGGTAGATTTGTAGATGAAGGTGAAGGTGTGAATGTATTGTAATGTTGTATGTTGTATGTTATGTATGTGTGTATACGTATGTGTATATATGTATATATATGTTGTATATTATAGATATATGTGTTATTTGCTATAAAGAATATATAGGTGAACAGATAGATAAATGAATAGATATATATATAAATGAATAAATAAATAGATATAGATATAGATATAGATATAGATATAGATATAGATATAGATATAGATATAGATATAGATATAGATATAGATATAGATATAGATATAGATATAGATATAGATAAATCGGATACCCCACTTTCGGGCCACCCCTCTTTTAGGCTATTTTAAAAAAGCTTATTACAAGAAGGGACCTCTCTTATTTATTCTTTAATAATTTTATAACACTTGAATCAATTAATTTAAAATTTTGATATATTATTATTTACATCATACCTAAGACATATACCAAAATTGATATTAATTTAATTTTATGTATAATAATAAATAAATATTCAATTTAATAAACTATTTTGGATTATAGGATTTCAAGAATTACTTTTCAAAACTATATAAATAGTTATTTATCTTATAAAAAAGGTATATAATATATGTAAAAAATAGTTTCGATGTAAAAAAAACGATTGGTAGATTAAATATTAGTTTAAAAGTCTTTAAGTATTAGTTCTACATATTAACAAATTCGGAAAATTAGGGAATACCTCCTCAATATTAAAAGAAATGATTTTATACTTGAAAAACGATGAATTACAAACTTTCTTTAAAGAAATCCAGAGATTAGGACTAAAAGACAAGTTAGGATTAATTCAGTATATATCAAAAATACAATTGTTGATACTATTAATCAATAATTCCCAAAGTTGAATTTACTCTCAATTTGTTATATTAAGTTTCAGCATTAATATAATATAAATAAAGCAGACATATAAAAAGGTTAGGGACTAAATGGATTAGTTCTAGAAAGCTTAGAATATCGTTTTATTTAGAAAAAGGAGTTTAGTTCTAAAGCTTGGATATCACTTATAGAGTACATCTCAGCCATAGGAAGAGCTTTTGATTCTCTTATCATATTAAAGAGAAAATCAGTACAACAATAATAGTTTTTGGTTGATTTAAAGTCCTATAAAAGGTAGTATTTTATTGTTATAGATAATAAATGGATTACAAATAATACTGTTCTAGAATAACTTAAAAAGGTTTTTATACCTCAAACAGTCTTCTCTTTATTGGATAAACCAAGACTTCTTATATTAAACAAGCATGGAAATCATAAAACTACTGAATTTATATATAAATGCTTTAAGTATAATATACACCTTTTATTCCTTTCACCACATACATCACACATTCTACAGCCTCTTGATTTATTCGTATTTTTACCTTTCAAAAAAGTATACAGATATTATCTTAATAAATTAGTCTTTTTATCGAATTCTAAAGCAATTAGAAAGATTAATTTTCTTATATACTATCAGAAAGCACAACTAAATAGTTTAATAGAATATAATATATTATTTAAATAAAAAGCTTCAGATTTATAGCCTCTAAATTATATTAAGCCTATTATATCCAGATTGTTGTTTGAAAATAATAATAAGAAAATTACAAATTAGAATTTATATTTTGATAATAATCCTATACATCAATGAAATAGGGAATCCGCAATTTCAACTTTTAAAACACTTCGAAAAACTTATAATTTGAAATCATATTCATATATATTCCTTCGAAGTGAAGAAATCAATCTTTATATTCACCACCAATTTTTTAGGAAAATTATTAAGAGATTCGATACTAAGAACTATAAAATTCTACAGTCTAAACATTGAATAAAACAATTGGAACATTAATTAAAACAAATCGTTTTTAAAAAGAAATACAAGATAAAAATTAGTTTAAATTCGAAGTTTTCTAAAATTAAAGAGATTAGGAAGGCACAAATTGCAGCAGGAGATTGTAAAATTGATATAGGAGATGTTAATAATGATAATGAAAGTATAGCCTTAAGTATTTATTATAATACTGAATAGTTGTTGAATAAATAATGTTTTAAAACTATATAATATGAATTTTTAAGGTGGTCCAAAAGAGGGGTGGCCCGAAAGTAGGGTAATCGACTTATAGATATAGATATAGATATATAAATAAATATAAATAAATATAAATAAATATAAATAAATATAAATAAATATAAATAAATATAAATAAATATAAATAAATATAAATAAATATAAATAAATATAAATAAATATAAATAAATATAAATAAATATAAATAAATATAAATAAATATAAATAAAAATAAATAAATATAAATAAATATATAAATACTTAGATTTATCAAATAGATATATAGATATCTAGATGAATATAGATAATAAATAAACAATAGATATAAATAAATAAATGAATGAATACTTAAATAGATAAATACTTAGATCTATAGATCTATAATATAGTTATCTATCTACGTAGTAATATAGTAATCCAGTAAGTAATCTAGCGATTTAAAAATTTGAAGAATAGTTAAACCTCAGGAAGATGTGATTTTGGGAGATAAATTGCTAAGGAGATAGGTAGCTTGAGGGGTAGGTATTTTCTTTGGTGTCGGTATTGGTATTGGTATTGGTATGGCTGTTAGTGTTAATGTTTCCTGACTGGTTACCTACCTACCTAGCTACATGTAAGATCTTACCATGCATGTATGATCATAAAAGGAAAGCTTATGACGTGTTGTAAGTTCTTTTGGGGTCTGGGGGATTATGGTTTGAGAGGAGAAGAAAACACAGAAAAGGTAGGAGAAGGAAGGAAGGAAAGTTTCATGTAATTCTTGAAATGCGTAGTAGTGCGTTGCAGCGCAATCCTCATCTCATCCCGTCTCATCTCATTTTGGGTCGAATCAACCAACTACACTAACATACATTGTAGGTAACATAATGAGAGAAAATCGTTAGTCTCTTCTTCATTATTACACTTTCTCCTCTCCATTCTCCTCTTCGCATCGCTTTCTCTGTTCCTCTCTATATTCTTCCCCCTTCTCTCCCACAAATGACAATTGATGAATCGAAACATAATCACAGAAAAAGGACATCTAAGTCAATTTCTGCTTGATGAAGAAGGATCGCAGATGCGAAAGTTGCCATGCGCAAGTGATTCCCAAGACGACGAGTTGGATTAGTGTCCAGCGGACGACACGCGCGTTGGTAGATTCGGATTGGTCGCGGAATTCGGCTTCACGTTCCTGAGAAGGGGTTAGTTTGGGGGTTTGAAAATTGGGGATTTGGAATTGGAGGTTGGGGGTTTAGAATTGGAATTGGGGGTTTGAGGTTGGAATCGGGGTAGGAGAGGGGGGACTTTGGGGGTACATGGGAAATGAGGAAGAGCATAATAGATGAATGTATAAAGGACAAATAAACATCAGCACTTACCCGTTGGAAAACCTGTTCCCTTCTAATATCCTGCAATCTGCCATTCAAATCCTTAACCTTTTGCACAATATCATTGATTTTTCCCTTATCGTCACTTTCAATTTGACTCGTCTCACCAATTGCCATATCGAGAGTCAATTTGATACCGCCATTTGAATGTAATGCGCTGAGCCAATTGCTAGAGCCAGAGGTGGAGGAGGGAGTAAAGCAGATTTTGTGGTCGCCAGAATCGGCGGCTGTGAAGGTGAAACGACCTGAAGATGAACCGGTTTGGAAGACTACTCTGTGGTCGTTATCGAAGACTTCCTAATGGGGAGAGGTTAGTAGGTTGTTGGTATACTTAGGTAGGATGTGCAGATATAGAATGTAGATGGACTCGAGGAGATGGGGCAAAGGGGGGAGAGGAGTAAATACATACATCTACAGAAATAAAAATGTTTAATCCATCATGTTTACTCCATTGTCTTGTATTTTCATCGTATTCCTCAGCGGTATAATGACCTACTACCAATGTATCTTTGGGTAATTCCTCGAAGAAACATTTGGGTGCTGAGCCGTCGATATAAAAGTAGAGGGATTGAACTGGGGCAAGGAGGACGGAGATAGCGGCCCCAATGAGGGGGAGAGATGTGCGCATTTTCGATTACCGGGAGTTATATGCGTATTGTGAGGGTTGAAGTAGTGAGCTTGCGAGGATGATATGATTGAGCTTGTTCAAGGCTTATTAGGTATATTCAAATGGATTGATCGAACACGTTCGCGACTTCTTGGACAGGGATATGCTGATTCACGTGCTGATAAGTTAGCGGTTGATAGCGGTTTAATGGTTGGGTTTTGGGGATATTTCGCGATCGCAATATTTCGTAGAAACATTGAACTATCTTTCGACAATCAATTCATCTTCTTCCCCTCTAATAATTCATCGACAGACACGTTACATTTGGATCTTCTTTAAGGTGTCATTTTGTTTCACGATACGATTCCAACGAAATAACAGGATAGAAATTCCACTCACGCACCACAAAACTACGTAATTAATTCAAAATGACATCCCACGATGTTCGCGATATGCTGGATCTCCCCTCAAGCTCCTCGGCCCCTCGACCCAAAAAAGTAAAAACAGTTGTCCAAAAACCGAAGTTGGGAGGTCTGGCAAGAGAAGTTCAAAATCTGGGGGGAGATAACCCCATTGCGATTGTACCAGAGGAAGCGGTCTTCAAGAAGAAGAGATTTGGAAGTCGAAAACCGGCGACGAAATGGGAAGCGAGGAGTTTTAGAAACAGCGCGAGGAATGGGGATGGTTTGGTGCTAAAGCATTGGAGGAAGGTTGAGGGGAGGGAGAAGGAAAAGCAGAGGGAGAAGGATGCGGAGGGGGATACGGAAATGGGGGAGGATGGGGAGAAGGGAAAGGAAAGAGAAGAGGAAATGATTGAGGACTCGACTTTTGCAAAGTATAATGTGAAGGTACAGGTACCGACTTATACCGACGAACAATACAAGGAAATTCTGCAGAGTGAGAATTGGTCGAGAGAAGAAACGGATTATTTGATGAGAACGGTTCAGGAATACGATTTACGATGGCCGGTCATATGGGATCGATACGAATATGTACCTCAAGACATCCCGGAAGACATCATGGAAGGAGCGATAGCTAGACGAGAAAGGACTATGGAAGACTTGAAAGTAAGATATTATACAATAGGTGCGGCTATGATGGCATTAAAGAAACCTTTACATCAAATGAATACCACGGAATTCGATTTACATCAAAAGATGTTGAATTTCGATCCTGTACAAGAGACTCGGAGGAAAGATTTCCTGGAAGGCGTTTTCACACGTACGAAGGAAGAAGCTCGAGAAGAAGAAAGTCTTATGGTGGAACTCAAACGTATTTTGGCTCGCTCGGAGAAATTCATGGAGGAACGAAGAGAACTTTACGCCAGACTCGATGCTCCTGCAAGTAGTTCTAATATTAGTGCTTTCATCACTAGTCAAGGTTTACATCAACTCTGTCAACAACTTCTCACCCAGGATAAAAGTAAGAAAAGAAAACCTATTCAAGAAGGTCAAACCCCTGGTGGTGCAACTCCCGTCGGTGGTAATACGCCCGGTGGATATGATGCAAGACGAGATTCCAATGTTCGAGAATCCATCTCAGCACCATCAGGCAACGCTGGTAATGCTTCAGCAGTGGGTAATAAAAAAGGAAGCATATCGTCTATTCAAACACCATCAGATCGCCGCAGACTCACAGAAGAAGAAGAAAAAGTTTACGGTGTTTCGCATCATGATCGTTTACAAGGAGGTCCATATTTCCGTGGTGAAAAACTTATTAGACCACTCACATCGAAGAGTGCAATTCAACAAGGTCGTATCAAAAATATGTTGGTTGAATTGGGCATTCCTGAGAAACCCATTATGGGCACGGCAGATGTCGCTCACGGTTACGATGAATTGTTCAAGAGTATTGGGATTTTGTTGGATAGTAAGAAGGTGGCTGAGAAGTTACAAACTGAAATTGATGTGTTGAAGGCGCAATTGGAGGAAAAGAAGAGGAGGAGAAGAATGAGTGGGTTGTCGGCTGCTGGAGGATTGGATGGTACCGAGGATGAGAAGGAGGAGACGAAGAATAAAAATGATGGGAATGGAGAAGGTGGAAGTGAAGAGCCAGGAGCAGCAGCTGTAGTGCAAAGTACAGAGAGTGGAGAGAATGGAGCGGAAAATGAACGGGAAGGTGGTGATGGCGCGCAGGGTAACGGTGAGAATAATGGCACTGAGAACGCTGATGCAAATACGGCGGCTGCGCCTAAAAGAAGCGCGAGCGTGATGAGTACGGGGACTGATAAGAGTTCGAAGAGGCAGAAGAAATAAGATGTAGTTGTAGAGAGAGTATGAATACTTTACAGGGTTAGGTGGCTACTCTGGTGGAAGAGGAGAGCAGAGGAAGAGGAGAGGAAGACGCTTCGCTTCTTACTTGTATAGATTAGTGTGGTAGTACTTTACTAGAAACTCATAAATGTTATGGTTTGCTCAAGTGCATTTCACTTCTTGTAAGTTGAGTTCAGGTGAAGTGAGATATGAAGTTTCAGAGTTGAAATGTGTATGTAAGATTACCATCTATAATTCCTTTCTTTTCTTTCTCATACTTTTCTCATGTTTTCTTCACTCCTCTCTTTTCAGAAAGTCATACATAATACTTGAATTTAGAGAGTATGACTGGGTATATCATGTACATTCATCTGATAAGTATCAGTAGCAGTACTCGCTTCATGTCTATTAGCTACTCTTTGTATCTGCATCATACACCACATACCACAATCATAAAATTATTCCTTGCAACACGAGTGGGGTGGTTAGTTGTTCGATTGCAAAGTTATTCAGTTGCTAAGTGAAGTGATGGATGGTATAGATGATGATATTAGGTATTGGAGATTAATACTCACAGGAGTGAGGATGTGAGGGAGTATGGAAATAAGGGTGATGACTATCTAGGTAGATTGCGCTTTTGTGTGATTAATTTGATTATTTGGGGGGTTAATGTGTTGTGCTGTGTCTTGCTGGTTGTTGGGACTGGGTATGAGGGAGGGAGTTAGGACAAGTGTGAGATAATTTGAGAAAGACGGAAATAGGAAAGTTGGAAATGGATACAGAGGGTGTGTTGTTTGATGTGATGCATTGGTGAGTGGAATAGTTGATTAAGGATGAAGAATTGTGAATAGAGAGGAGAGGAGCTTGATGGTGTATGGTAGAGATTTAAGGGGCGATTCGACGGATGGAGATGAGGGAGTTTGGGGTTGGGGATGTGGATGTTGAGTTGGAGATTGTGATTGGAGGATTCATGGTGTGTTTGCTGAAATGGAAAATCAGGTGAAGAAGTTTGTGGATTTTGTGATTGGTGTTGGGGAAGATGTGTTGTAGATTTCGGATGGCATGCTTCCTGACTAGAGGGCTACCCTTAGCATGAAGAGAGATGTAGAAACCACATACTGCGCCCGCCATCGTCGCAATGGAATTGTGATGATCAGAATCTGTATCGCCACACTGAGCGTCTCCGATATCGTTACAGGAAAGAATTTTGATCTCGCCCTGTGTTTCCTGTTAGATTGGTTATTGACATGTCGTGGGAGTTTTATGGCCAACGTCACATATCAACATCTGAACCCCAGTAAATATAAACACATCTCTTCTTTTTCTGGCGTGTTGAATGTACCGCGAAATACAAAGTTAGGAATCCAGCTCTTTGTACAGGTTTGACCGGTGCTATTCTCAATAATTAGCTCGGCAACTGTTCGAGCTGAAGCGAGATGAAGTGGGTAAAGGAAAGGGGGGGGGGCTTGCATGGATGGAGAGCAAAGATGTTGTATGAAAAGGCGAGAGGGATTGCTGATATATGGATTTCTCCAATGAGTGGTTAGTTGGGTTTGAAGTAGAGCAAAGTGGGCTCTTAGAGAATGAATAGGAGAGTAGGTGACAAGATAGTAGTCAATTCATTCCCATGTCTAGAGGTAATAGCGCTTTCTTGCAACCTCAATTTCGTGTCTAATTTCAATATTAGTAAATTGGTAATTTCAATAGTAGACTAGTATCGTTGATCTAGTTGCAATGCACTGTAGCAATGAAGTCACTGTTTCTGGAACCAATTTCGATATTCTGTGACTATAAGTTCAAGACTTAACATCGAAATGACGTTCAAGGTTTAACCTCAATCTTAATGTTAATATATTCGTCTATCAATTGATGGAGAATAAGGGTGTGCGGTGGAGAAGGGGGGAATTTACTGTGTATTGGGGAAATCTTGATACCTTGTCCGAATCCTTCCTAGATACATGTAGTAATAATTATTCGGACCAAGAATGTATATAGATGGAGGGCTCGGAATGTTGTTTGACCGAATGTCGTTTCAATCGACCAATCAAATGTCTACCCCGATCGGCTGAGAGATGGAACAAAGCAAGGCAAGAATGCATCATCGATATCGTTATCAACCATTCTCTGGAAGCGACATCACATCACGAAACCCGTTTTTTTAAGTCTTCAGATAAGACTTGTTTGGTCTGAAAAAACGAATTCTTCATTAACAGGATCGAATTCAGACGTGACTGTTGCGAAGGAAGGGATATCAACGTCATGCCATGCTGACACCCTTGTTTACCACCACAACAAAGCAAACCACTGCCACCAAATTGGCCAAGATTAAGCAAAAGATCACGTCATAAAATTTCTGTTCTACTCCTCACAAAATGTCTCTACCACGAATTCTTCTAACCCTCATCGTGAAAACAATCCGTTTCCTCGCCAATACCTTCGCGCCCATTATCCTCCGCTACATCTATCGCACACCTCCCCACCCTGCGACCTACACTCTCCGTATCCACACTACACTCCTCCCCGCCTCTCCCGGAACCCTCACTCTCCACATATACCAACCTCACGGCCACCAAATCTCAAAGACCGATCCCCTGCCATGTATTCTCAATTTTCACGGCGGAGGTTTCGTGATCGGGAATCCCACGGATGATTCGCTTTGGTGTCATACTGTCTCGACATTACAAAATTGCATTGTGATATCTGCATCATATCGATTGGCTCCCGAATATCCCTTTCCCACAGGACCTTATGATGCATGTGATGCCCTTCTTTATGTATTTTCTCATGCTGAAGAATTGGGTATTGATGCCGAAAACATTGTCTTGAGCGGATTTAGTGCCGGAGGAAGTTTATGTTTTGGCATTCCTTTATTGTTGGAAGACTTGAAGGACAGAGGGGTCGTGAAGGATAGAAACTGGAATGTCAAGGGTATCATGGCATGGTATCCAGGATTCGATAGCACGATATCTCGTTCTGAAAAGAAAATGAGGATGAAGGATCCAAGTCTTTCATTGCCATCTTGGCTCACGAGTATTTTTGATCAGTCGTACAAACCTGAGTATTTGAATATTGATCGGAGGCATAAATTACTTTCCGCGGGAATCCAAAGCAAAGAGGTGCTGGAAAAAGGGTTACCGAGGAAAATGAGAATTGTTACTTGTGAACATGATATGCTGTGTAGGGAAGCGGAGGACTTTGTAGAGAGATTGAAGGGTTGGGGTTGGGAAGTGGATTTGGAGTGTGTAATGGGTGTGAGGCATGGATGGGACAAATTTCCGCGTGCAAAACCTGACCCGAGGGAGTTTTATGGAAGGGCTGGGGAGTGGCTGAGGAAAGAAGTTTGGGGTGGGGATGAGGAGAGTGGTTATTGAATTTCTGTGGTGGTGGCGAAGAATACGATGAGAAGTGTGTCTAATGGTTGTGCCTGACAATCTCAAATGTGCAAGTGTCTAAACCAGATATCAATCGTACACCATAGAAGCTGTTTTGTGTGCAACTGGTTTTGTTTGGCCCCAGATGCTTGAAGGTTAGGTTCACCATTGAGCCGTGAATTCGACATGAGATACAGCTGTATTTAGAATTCGTCACCTAGTGTATGAGGATCTTCATTAACTAGCTACCTCAGCTACACCATGGAAGCATGCTTGACTATTCTAGCTAATCACTACTCGTAGATTTTTGCAAACAAAGAACCTGGCCAAGAAATACCAAATACAACCTCTATTATCACGTTGTGTTCTAGTGTTACGAAGTTATTTTTTTGAAAGAAGAAACTTTATCTAAAAAGAAATTCTAGGCTTTGAACGAGAGGAGAGTGAAGTGGCCGTAATGTTGTAATGGTGGTACCCTTGATTGGAGTACAATGTGTGCTTTGGGGAAGGGATGGCGAAGACGAAGCGAGGGGTTTTGGACAGGTTATAGGGAAGTGACAAAATAGCAGGGGATATTCTATTGACAGAATATCCCACGGCGTCATCGACCGACGTAGCCGCAGCTTGCATAAACCTCACACGACACATGCAATGTGCACATGGAGTGAAGATCCCGTTTTCTCGAATCGATAGAATCCTCTTTTTGTTGATGGCTGGCATCAGAAACTCTTCAAATATCCCGTAATTCAGTATTTCTTCACATAACCTCGCCTCACTTTCCTCAGTTGTATCTTACTCCCTCCAGCCTAGCATGATGCATATGGAAGAGAAAAGTATGTCACGTGAGATGGCGCCTGGGCACTTTCGTCAGTCAGCCTATAAATTCGACTACTATGATGCTTCATCCCTTCTGGTACTTCGATGACCGCATACACTGGGAATGAATCTCAAAAACTCCTAAATTCATCACACATGCGGGATTTTACTTTACGGGAGGAACACTATTTAACGATGATGAATGATGCTTTGATGGGCGATTGATGGAAGGTACAAGAGTTAACAGAAATTTTTCTGAAGCACACTCTCCCGGAAGAATGCAATGTAACATCGAAAGAATGGTATGATCAAGAAGGCCAACATTGAGGCTCTTGTTATCAGCTGCTTCGATCAAACGTTGTTTGGGGGTTTGTTATGCCCGAATGCTTTTTAAATCTCCAGCCACGTAATCGGTGAGCTGATTGGGTCAACAGCCTTGATATCTTTTCCCAGGCCTTGGATTCTATTGGCATACAACTCAGTATAATGATGATAAGATGCTCACCACTTGAAGCAGAGAGCCTTGGTCGAGTATATCTCTACCGCAAGACGGGAACTTGCTTCCACGCTGACAGGATGTTACAGGTTCTTGAAAGTTTTTGCAGAGAAACCAAGCGGCGAAAGCTGTATCTCTAAATCGGAAAATTTTCTAGCCAGGTCGATAGTAGACTGCCCTCACACGGGGTCTCTCAGTTCCATTTATTCAGGGGCGCGATATATCAGGGAACTGGGTCGAGGTTAACAAGCTGACATGCAAGTCAGTGCCACGTTCTCAAGTTGACCGGTACTGTTTCTTGAATCCAGATGTTCAGAGGAATAATTAGCCTTCTACAAAAGTGTTATGTAGGACCTAAGGGGTAGTTAACCAGCAAACCCGTGTTTATGCACTACCAGGCTGAATCTGCAGTTATTGTAGTATATCGTGTAGCCGGCCGTCTGGGCTCGAATCCTACATACATCGTATCGCAAATCCAAACAGTCTCTTAAAGATAGCGAGGACTGGAAATGGCACTTTCGATAGCATACTTGATTGTGTTCTCTTTAGTTTCAACTTCTCCTTTCAATTCGATCTACGATTCTTTCACAAACTACAATGGCCGCGTTGACGTATGAATCCTCTGATTACCGAGGTAAGTTAGCGTTGTCTCAGTTTGTATTTTGAGAACATGCTAATGAGAATGTCATGTTAAAGCACAAAGTGCAAGAAGAGAGTCCGAACCAGCTGCAATTACAGGACAGTTGCCGGTAACTTCGATTGACCTTGGTGACGAAATATTGAAAGTTCTGAAAAACAACCCTATTGGATTATCTCCAGAAGGGACTTACCTTCCAGACGAGGAATACGATAGACTATTGAGGAAAGACAGGATACAAGCTGTACTTGGTGGTGGCCGCGAGGTTTTCACCCTGGTCGAATACATTACAAGCAGCGCGAAAAAGACATTTGCGACATTGCTGCAGGTATTTTCTAATTGGGAAGATCGTCGCGATGTCATGGCCTCCCTAATGGAGAAAGAATTCAACGACACGCTCTTAGAATCCTACGAACTTAGCACGTCATACTTTCAACATAGGTTGTGGAACGAGAGAACAATTGACGATTTCAAAAATAAACGGCTGTCATTTATCATCCCCACGTTTGATATCAATGTATTCAAATATGAATTCGATAAAAAGCAAATTCTTCCGTTCACGGTTCTTGACGAAGCAAATACTCCGCCAAGAAGCGGCCACTTCAGCGAAGTCGAATGTGTGAAAATGTTGACTAGTAAGCAAAATAAAGTCAACGCTCCTGACAAGACAATGAGGGTCGCTTTGAAGAAGTTGAAAAAAATTGGCGACCCTGGCTATAACATTCATAAAGAATGGGAGCGTGAGGCAAGAGCTCACCAACAGCTAAATTGTTCAAGTCCAAACCTCATTCAAGCTTTTGCTGCCTACCGCCAAATTGCGACAAATAGACAGCTCGACGAATACTATCTTGTCCTTGAATGGGCCAATGGCGGAAGCCTCTTTGACTTCTGGGAAAACAACCCTGAGCCACAAGTGGATTGTCCCGACGTTGGCAAGGTTCGGCGAAGGGTCAAAGAGGTGGCGGAGCAGCTACATGGACTAGCGCAGGCTCTCGAGGCAATGCATTCTACTAGTGCCCGCACCCCTGGAAATAGCAGAAAGAATTCCACATCAAACTCGCCTAGACTCCTATCAGAGAATACTGCAACCTGGGAGGAGGATACTTTTGATAACGGTAGACCATTTGTGGATAGCTCTTCTTTGCCTACGTTCAATTTCGACTCCGAGGAAAACAGCGACAGCAATGCAAAAATACCAAGCATCTTGGTTTCTTCTGACCCTGCAAGTTTAAAAGCAACCGAAAATTCTGACTCGCTGAATTGGCGTCATGGGGATATCAAACCGGAGAATATATTACGTTTTACCACCGGCCAGAAAGATGATGAATTAGGGGTCCTAAAGCTCGCAGATCTGGGAAGAGCTCAACAGCATCAATTTGTGACAAGCATGAGACATACTAAGGAGAAGGAACTTTGGAGAACACGATGGTACGAACCACCAGACCTTGAGAAGAAGAATCATGAGGAGGCTGAAGGCAAAATTTCACGCCTATTCGATATTTGGTCCATGGGATGTGTAATTTTTGAAGCCGTATTGTGGTTGCTATATGGACACGAGTCTCATAATGTCTTCTTGCGAGCCAATGGATTTCCCACAGGAGAGAAAGGTGCGACACCATATTGGCGAAAAAGAAGAGATGGAAGCTACGAATTGACGGAAGCTCTTACAGAGTGGATGAACCATATATTAGAGCACGACTTAGAACGCGATGGTGTTATCGGTGATCTGATAAGATTGACGAGAGATAGATTGCTCAAGATCAAACTGCCTCCAAACTCTGACCTCTACGCCAAAGGCTTCCGTACAAACGCAAAAGATCTAAAGGAACAGCTTGAAAATATTCTTAAAAGCGCTGGAAATAAGAATTATTTGTTCAGTGGGGGGGGATCGGACAAGCATGTCTCTACTCAATCTTACAAATTCAGCCACAAAAAAAACATTACAATCTACAAGTGGTTCGTTATTGTCGGCTGAAGATGCAAGGGGAGTAAATGTTCCTATTGTTAAAGGACGGAGAACTGAGATAGCTCATCGGCGTGAGTATACCAGCAACATAAAAGACCAGTGGAAGACTACTCCTGAAGATCCTTCATTTGTTGAGTCGATATTAAAGGGCCGGAAATTCGGTTGTGACGAACCCGAATTGTGTACAGACTGCAATGATATCAACATTTCGTCACTGCATACGGAAACTTCTCACAATATGAATATACTGGAGACCAAATCAATAAAAAATGAGTGCGACCTCTGCGAAGTAATCTATACGGCAGCCAAAGATCACGGCATCAAGAGTCGTGATGGTATCCAGCAGATCTCATTAGTACGATCAGGCGATGATTTCCTTCTGAAAGGAACCAAGCGAAAGTTTCTTCGCCTGATTGGTAAGTATTGAGGTCTCGCGGTTTAGTAATTTTATTTAACAAAAGTATCAGAATCAAGGCAGGATACAACAGCTCCTTTGGCTGCACCGGAGCTAGCTTCACTGACCAGTAGTCGAGACCCCTCTCCTGCGGATCTTGACTCCTTTATGAAACTACCAAGGGCGTGGCTTGAAGAATGTGATGAGAATCACAAAGACATTTGTGCACCCAAGGATACTCATATCCTCCCAACAAGGCTCATCAGTGTCGCAAACCTGAAGAAACCAAAGATCGTAGCGACTGCAGATCTCTCTCAGACTGTTCTTCCGGAAGGTACTCGATACATTGCACTTTCTCATAGGTGGGGGGGTATGCCTTATGAAGCGATGACAACGCAGAATAATCTCGAACAACGCCAGAGGAAAATCCCGATGCACGAGCTACCACTAAGCTTTAGGAACGCCATTGCAATTACGAGCGCACTGGGCTGTACCTATCTGTGGATCGATTCTCTTTGCATCATACAAGGTCCTGGTGGTGATTTTGGTGAGGAGGCAGATAAGATGCAAACAACATTTAACGGTGCGTACTGCGTCTTGGCTGCTTGCAATGCCGAGAGTGCCAAGGTTGGCTTCTTAGAAAATCGAGAATCACGATCAAAATGTGTCAAGATCGGTAATGTCTTTGTCTCGCCAATCACAATCGATTTTGAGCGGGATGTCCTTCAAAGCCCCCTAGCCCGGCGTGGATGGGTTTTACAGGAACGCGCCTTGGCACGCAGAACTATTTACTTTACAGACAATCAGACCTATTGGGAGTGTGGCGAGGGAATTCGTTGCGAAACATTGGTAAAGCTCAAGAAGTGAGCTAGCCTATTCATTAACAAAGTAGACTTGACTAATGCCTTCTCATTAGCGATAAGATAGCTTTCCTCGGTGACCCCAACTTTCCCGACTACACAATCCGACCATCAAGCACCGTCGGGGATCAAATCAAGCTTTTTATTGATTTGTTCCAGAGATATACCAGGCTAGAGTTTTCTCATCCGGAGGACCGTCCTATCGCAATTGATGGACTGATGGAGCGACTCACCATCGCATTCAAGACACGAAGCTTAGCAGGGCTTTTCAAAACATTCTGGGGCTGCTGTTTGCTTTGGCGACGGGCTGACAATACAAGACCGCTGAAAAAGATTCCAACTGGCACAAATCATCGGCGGACACCACCAACTTGGTCATGGATGGCTTTTGATGGCGCAATCACGTTCATCGAGCCTGTTGGCGGTCAAGTTTCTTGGAATGGTGCTGGAGTGAAACTACCATTTGCTAATCTTACCGGCTATCAAACTTCATGGCTTCGAACAAGCTGCCAGAATGATTGTGTGGCTATCCAAGCCAAAGTGTTTGACTTCAACATACCTGCAAACGCTAGCAGAAGTGAGGCATGTATATATTATGATGACTCAACGATTTGTACAGCTAAATGTGTGATTGTTGGTACTGAAAAATATCATGCAAATGATGCAAGTATGGAGAAACATTACGTCTTGATCGTCAAGCCGCTTTCAGACATCCTCAGTACGATATCTTACGAACGTTGTGGCGTCGGATACATGCTAGGCAAGTATATTCGCTTGGGTGACCCTTCTGTTTATGTGCCAATCGAGTAGTTTCAGTTTATATATAAACCAGGTCGAGGAGGTCTCGAGCACATGGGAGGCTACAAAATTAGAATGTTTTTTTTAATATAGGGTTCTGCAGATCTTATTCAACTGTACACAGCGGCTAAATAATGTATGTGCAATCAAAATTTTCTTGCTATTCACATCTGGATAAACGATGCAGTGTTTAGAAATGTGATTAGATAGCAAATGATTGCAACAGCGATAATCAAGCTCGCACCTAGCCTGACCGATCGTGTTCTTCAAGTGGAGTTAGCTCATGTCAAAACAGGCGAGGTTGATGAGAGAAGTATCCGGCATCTTTTCTCTGGATATGTTGAGGGTATTCGTTCCCGCGACCGTTTCTCAAGTGTATCTCGATTGACATGGAGTCATTTGATATCTTTCTCTGTTATATGTTTTACTCTTGGTGGATTTATATAACTAAATGTAAGTAAGTAAAGCGGAATCCACATTTCACATGATCGAGATCATAAGGGATTCAACGTAGCGATCTGGCTCATTTATATCTCGCAGTCGCCATCATGATTAAACACATATACACGTAATCATAACAGACGCATAAAGGATAATAGATCCAGTTTTCAAATGACTACAAGCAAAGTCCCGCTGATATGCAACTGTATCTCGCAGATACATATCTAATTCTAAAGATGACTCAATATATCTCTTGAAACACTTATCTGTGACTTTACAGCTGTCAAAAAAAGCGTGTATGGGCCGACAAGTAGATAGAGAGTGTAAATGAAATATAACAAAATCTTCTATTCTATCATGCACCCTTATTGATCTACCTTTAAAGAAGCATCACAACACAAAGACATCTTCCTCAAGCAATCAAGCATCTATACATATACCCTACTCTCTCATTTTAACCACCGCAATATGAACTGCAGCAATATAACCCACCCCTACCCCTATTCAAACACCAATGTTACATTCCAAAATTCATCAATTAGGGTACTCTACCCTACTCATTATCTATCCATCTATTCATCTATCTATCATTTATTTATTTATTTAATTTATTTATCTATTTATTATGATTTATTTATTATTTATTTATTTATTTATTTATTTATTTATTTATTTATTTATTTATTTATTATTATTTATTTATTTATTATTATTTATTATTTATTTATTATTATTTATTTATTTTATTTTTATTTATTTATTTATTTATATTATTTATTTATTTTTTATTTATTTATTTATTTTATATTATTTATTTATTTATTTATTTTTTTATTTATTTATTTATTTATTTATTTATTATTTATTTATTTATTTATTTATTTTATTATTTATTTATTTATTATTTTTATTTATTATTTATTTATTTATTTTTATTTATTTATTTATTCATTCTATCCATTCATTATCATTCATTTATTCCCTTCATTCTATCCATTCATCTATCCAGTCATCTATCCTTCATCTCTCCATTCATCTACTCATCCCATCTACCCCTTCATCTTTTTCATCCTAATCCCCATCCTAACTTACTCATCAGTATTACTTCCTAATACAAACATCTCAAAAACAATTAAGAAATATTATATCAACTTATATTCTTCTAATAGTTATATACGTTCTAAGCTATAATTTAGAATTGATAATTTCGAATTTTATAATTTATAAGTTATATTTTATTAATTTATAATTGATAAAGTGATAAGTTATATTTTATAATTGGTAATTTATTAATGTATAATGTAAATTTATAATTTTATAATTTATTTAATTTATAATTTATAATTTATTAATTATACTTTATAATTTATAATTTATAATTCCCGTAACTTATAATGTATTTGCTTAAATATCTAAGTATTTAAGCATTCAAGCATTAAAAAAACTATTTATTTATATATCCATTTTAAAATCTCAAAATCTCAAAATCTCAAAATCTCAAAATCTCAAAATCTCAAAATCGATTCATTATACTTCTTATATCACATTATACATCATATCACACATTACATCACATCACATCACACATTATAAACATCAACATCAACATTACAAATATCAAGATAAATCTCCCCTCTCACCTCCAACTCCCCAATTCCCAACTCCCCAACACAAATCATTACCCAAAAACCCCGAAACCCCAAACAACAAACAAAATTCCTCCTTCCCACAAAAAAACGCATCCATCCCCTCTTTTCCCCCCCTCCCTCCCTCTCATACGAACATCCCACCCACAAAATAATTAACAAAAGTCAGCCGTCAAAACAGCAAAAATCAAAAGATTTCAGAGATGCAACGGGATTAAAGAACAAAGGATTCTAGAGAATAAAATCATAAATGCAAGTAAGTAAATTAAATAAGCTTTCATTCCCATTTCGATTCCACTTATAGCGAAAACGAAGAGAACCAACCGAGTTGATGAATACAATATACTTTTCCCATCCAATGCATTCATGCTTCATGCATACACTCTCTAACCCCTCCCTCCCTATCTTCTCCTCCTCATAATCATCCTACATGTATATCATAAAAGTCCCCCAGCAATCTTCGATCCATGAGCCACGCAAACAATTAATCAAAAAAAAGCAAACAGATAAATAAATAAACAAACAAAACAAGCTAAAACATTCATCCTAGCCTGCTAACCACTCCCTACGCCATAAGCTACCAGAGCAAGCAACTCTTTCCATTCCATTCCGTACACATCTCCATCCCGATCTAAGCCCAAACAATAGTAGCATGAATTGAAAACTCCAAGAAAAATTCCCTAGATACAATTGAAAAGTATGAAATGAAAGATAAATCGAATATTAAAGAGGTAATCCATTAGCTCACCCTTCATAGTGAGACCTTGCAGAATTTCTATTAGCCTTCATGTGGCGGATAAAGACCACGAATAACTCTTGCTGGATTTCCACAAACCACTGTGTAAGGTGGAACATCTCTTGTGACAATTGAGCCCGCTCCCACTGTACTACCCTTCCCGATAGTTCTACCAGGTAAAATTGTTACGCCACCACCAATCCAACAATCCTCTTGAATGATGATTTTCCTTCCCAAATTTGGTCCTCGGGATCCAAGTCTTCTCTTCGGATCAATGTGTAGCGTGGCGGTATAGAGACTAACATTTGGTCCAATATTGCAACGATCACCAATTTTGACCTCGCAAGTATCAAGAATTGTGCAGTTCTTTCCAATCGCAACATCTTGTCCAATGCTAATATTGTATCCATAATCGCAAGTAAATGGAGCTTCGACGACCACATTATCGCCGACTTTACCAACAGGAGTGACAGTCGTAGCTTGGGTGGGAGAAATGACATGATCGCGTGGTTGAAGGATATCACGGAATTGACGAGCTCGTTCTTCGGGCGATACACCATTATTAGGATTTGTGCTATTGTTGAAACGCCAACAAGCTGTATTGCAACGTTCACGCTCAAGAACTAGTTCTTTATCAAATGGGAAGTAATGACGGCCAGCTAACATTTCTTCCTTTTGAGTTCTTTGTCGGCTTGCAGGATGAGAAAGTGCTAGTTGTGCGGCAACTTGGGCGCTGCTATGGGGGCTATCGGGGTGAATCTGATGATTGAGTAGATTTGGAAGAGCCGAAGTAGGCTCACGAGCAGAATGCGGTGTTCCAGTATCCGGCTCTGTTCTTGGCTCTTGCCTGGAAAGATCATGGAGAGGTCCAACGCGCGGGTACTCACTCTTGTAACGATCTGGATGGGCACTATTTGCACTCACAGGAGTGGGCGTTTGTTGGATTCCATAACCTGATGCAGATATTCGATTATTCTCCGGGCTTGTAATGGAAGCACTAGGTAAGGTAGTTGCGCTAGCTTGATCGTCTGCATCTGTGATAGCTCTGCTATGAGGATCTACACGTAAGCTTTGGCCACGATATCCAGGTAATGGTTCCCTTCGAGTTGGAATTCCAGGTTGGTTTCCGTATGGTGATGCCTGCGTGTATGAAGAAGGGCTCTCGTATTCGGTTTTGGATTGTAATGGAACTGGAGTTTGTTTCATTTCGACCTTTGGATAGGAACCTCGTTGTTGATATCCAGAACAGACAAACCCACCACGGAGACAATTGTTACCTATATCAGATGTCAGTAAAATTCGACGAAATATTGTCCGATTAATTTACATTCTGGCCTGGATTCATCGCACTTCTTCTTTCGCCTTCTGCATGTCATACAGCCTGTCTTGGTTCTATTACTGAAATTTCTTTTCCGTTTCTTGAGATCTGATTGTGCAGACAATTCCCGTCTCTCTTGGCTGTAAGCAGATTGCGGATCAGCATATCGATTATCATCCCCAGAAAGTGTACGACGATCGTACTCATGCTGCTGCGCATCCAGATTTTGAGATGCTCTTTGTAATACCTCTCCAATATGCTCATCGGAAGCAACTTGGGGATTCTGAGGATAATGACGACTATGCCATAAGTCATTCGAAGGTGTATCCCGAGCTGAGTCGGTTGCCGACATAAATTGTCTGTACTGTGAATCTGCGCTGTACGTCTCTCTGGAATCTAAATGAGGTTGAGATTTTGCTCGAACACTTCCATCATCTCTGATCCCATCAGATTCAGTAGTCGCCGTGGTTGGTGTCGCTTTTGTTGAATTTGGTAGGGCATGGCTGTGGTATGAATTTGCGGATGATGAACCTTGATCCATTGAACCAGATCTTTTACGTTTGTGAGAATTCTCGTCGGAATAATGATTTGAATTCTGGCTCGTATTCATTTGGCGATCGGGTAAATGAGTACGTTCTCCATTTTTGGAAGAAGACCAGTCTTGATCCTGAGTTGTTGTGATGGTCAATTTCTCATGACCTGGAGGTGAAATTCTAGGTTGTCCATTTGGTCTCTCATCGGAGCCCCTCCTTGCAACACCGTTTCCATTTACTCCAGTGCTAGTAACATTTCCATTTCCATTGGTCGTAGGCGAGGTTTCATTCTGATTTCTACCATTGACTGCTGTGAATCTAGCCGTCGGCGATTCCGCGTGTTTCTCTGTACCTTCTGGAGTCGCCATTTGAACTATATTTTGAGTGATTTCTATTCCTTCTTCACTGCTTGAGTTAACCACCAAAATTTCTCGAGCTAAATTCACAAGCTCCTGGGTTTCAAGAGGACTATTTTCTGTATTCATGGTGTTAGGCGCCATCTTTAAGTTGATTTACCCTATTGCGACAATGAAGGTTTTAGAAACAAAAGAAAAAATATCTCTTCGGCGGTTAAACGTACAGTATTTAAAGTGTTTGATAATGGGAATATTCCAATATGATGAGCTTTCTTGAATAAAATTCGGATGGAGATCACGTTTCTTCCTAAAATAGCAGACGCGCGCTTTCCAATTCAAATGGTAAATCTCGAAAGGTCGATTGATCCAGTTAGCCTTCCATTCGTTGGTTTCCTGCTTCTTTTCTTGAGTAAACTATATTAAAACTCAAATCAAAGGGTTGGAATCGTTGAGCTACTTGTTGCCGGAAAACCACTTTTCAGCAAGACCAAACTCGTGACCTTATCGACGTCGTTCCCCTTGGCCGAGCTGAGATGCGTTGAGAAATGTGGAGACCAGATGATGTGTAAAGACCAAACACCACGAAATCTTTGGATTGATGATGATCGCGATAGTTATTTTGAGAATCATTCACTGTCTCGTCGAAATTAAATTATTTTTGGTGCGGTGAACAGTATACGATATCGACGGGAATCGGTCAGTTTGAATTCGTGATATGCTTTCAGGATTCGGAACGGCCGATTGAATGATTACAATGGATTGTTGTTGACTGAAGGATGTATTGCCCTCCTGATAAGATTGTCGCCCAAGGTGAATTCGGGTCAAATTAGTAGTAAATTCAATCAATTGGTGTGCAAATGATTGGAGTAGGTGATGCTGTCTCTTTTTTTCAGCCAAGGAAATGTAGAAAGAACTCGACTTCATTCACGTGTACTTTGAAGTGATTTTTCTTTCTTGTCTCTCGATGAGATGTAATTTCCAATGAATGAGAGATTGGTCCAGCCGAATCGTGTATGATTATAATGATGATGGTGATGGTGATGATGATTGATTGATTGCTGATTGATGTCTTTGCCTCATGGATGATGGATCGTGTTCCTTGAGCTTGATTGAGAATGGAGAGGTAACACCAAATGATTGTAGAGATGGTTGTTCGTCGGTAACGGTGTAATTAAAACTTCGCCTTCTGCCTTTCACCGTACAAGATCGGAGATGAGGAGACGACAGTTCGTATAGTATGGGATGTTCGTATGGTATGATTTGATTTGGATGGATGGATGTGTGGATGTCGTCAATGGAAATCGTCAAGTTCCTTAAAATAGAAAAATTGAATCGGAAATAGACTTTTGGATACAAATGGCGGGATATTTTTATGGGAATAGATGGCAAAAAGGGTTTCGTCTTTTCTCACGTCCTTCTTTATTTTTTTTTGATGAATCTCTTTGACCCAGTGGAATGGTAACGAAGGGACGCAAAGAATCAAAAGTTATGGCTGTTGGGGTAGTGGGAATATATTGAGCAGCGTCTGTTCTGTACTACAAATCGTCATGGGTTGATTAAAGTGGGCATTTTTAATTGTCTAGTGTCTCTTCTCTCTACCATGTTCCGCGTTTAGCTCGGTAAGATGGAAATCCTCGGCGGTTGGAGATTCAGCTTGGGTGCATGAGTGGTGAGTGGTGAGTGGTGGATGGTGGATGGTGGATGCGAATCGAATGCAAATGAGAGGGGGAAATAGAAGTGGGAGAGAGTGAAAAGAAAAGAGGAAGAAGAAAGGGCAAAGGTGGAGGGGACAGAAAGTACGATTATATATGAAGTCGAGTAATAAGGTTATTTGGTGTAAAGTTTTGAAGTTTTTCAAGATGTGAGATATGAGAGTTGTGAGTTATGAGTTGTGAGTCGAGAGTACTAGGAGGTACCTAGGTAGGCATATCTAGGAGATAATCGTAGAGGCAATACTTGTAGATGTCACCTGAATTGCTGTAGAAGGAAGACACAGTAAATCTCTTTCTCTTTCTCTCCTCTCTCTCTCTCTCTCTCTCTCTCTCTCTCTCTCTCTCTCCCTCTCTCTCTCTCTCTCTCTCCCTCTCTTTCTTTCTCTCCCTCGGACATCCAGCAGGTAACCTCAATTGATTCCAGATGATCTAATAAAAGTACCTACCTACCTAGTATATTGACAAGTACCTCCATTTCAATACTTCTAATCAATACCATCAGAAATTGATTGAAGAACATACATACATACATTGATTGGATTTATAAATACTTTCCTCGGCCCAAACGATGACCCAAATTGAGGTATCATTGATCTGGATTTAAATGTTGTGAATTCGAGCCTCATTCGCCGCCATTAAACACCAAACAATCTCTTTGTTGTCATCAATTCAATTCCATTAGATTATCACCGTTCGGGCGCCAGCACTTTTGATTTCATGCAGGATGATTGTTTGTATTTATTGATTCGAGATATCGTTTTTGTACTTCTTACCCACCATTGCAAACACTGATATTAATCCTCTAGACTACGAATACTACTGCATTCAAATCAAACATCCTATACAACCGACACAACCGACACGGAAAGTTTGGAAGCGTTGCTCGTGGTGACTTGGAAAGTTGACAAGTCGGTAGGTAGAGTAGGCAGTGCAGTGCAGTGCTATTATCAATAGTATCCAATAATCACATTGAATGAGTGAGAGACATTTCCGAATCCACCGACTTGGGAATTTAGATATATTTAGCCTTGTTAGCAAGATGATCCAAGGACGACCTAATATCCGCTGGCACGTCGATGCATTGTTGGGGTGATTCGGAAAGATGGAAAGTTCTTCCCCCCTCCTCCCCCTTCCAATCAATCCAATGACGATGTCGGGTGCCCTAGTCTTCTTGCCCAAGACTAGGACAAAATGCTCAGTGTCGGAGATGGTAAGGCTCAACACGCTCAATGATTGATTAACTTACAATTTATAAAAGATTACAAACAAAGAAAATGATGATACAACAACTAGGACCACTTTGGGCCATTTGCTCTGGATCGGAGTGAGCTGAGCGGCTGCTCGCTTTTGCGCGACGATAAAACCCTTGTGCTGTGCTTCCTATTGGCTGCGTCTCAATCAACCTACTTCGGCGTCTATCTCGATTAGGCAAGGTTGTATTAATTTCGAGGATGCACAAACCCAGTTTGGCAACTGGTCAATGATATTACACAATAAATACACTCACTAGGTAGGTAAACTTCGAACACGTTTCCTAATCAAGTAAAACCTCGTGCAGGATAGCTAGAGTACCTAGTACCTACCTACATACATATTACCTATCTACCGACCTACCCACCCACCCACCTACCTAGGTAACCTTATGATATTCAAAATATATCACGTTGAACCTTGAAAGTAACGATTAACGGTTAACCCCATCAAATTCATCCATCAATTCCTTCATCAAATTTACATTCATCCAAGAACCCCAAGACTCACAGAGCCCCAAGAGGAACGAATCATCGAGGCTGTGTCATGATACATTCGCGTCACGTTGCGTTTTCATCTGTAACGCAGCGACCGACGCAATGTTTCTTCCTCTTTTTCATTGGCAACTCCGGTTCATCTGCTTCATATCCAAGTAATCCTTTAGCGCGTTCGCCAACGTGAGACTTTCGCAAGCCTTAATGGTCGGCCGGCCAAAAAATCAGTCTGACAGACAGGACTTACGGTACTCGATGATAGGATTTAACATTGACCCCCAAAAGAGACCCAAGGAAAACTAAAAGGACTCAAATCACATTTCTTAACTCGACTTGCCTAGCTGGAAATTGTTCTGCCGCAATGTTCAAACCTTGTCACCATAGTCACTAGAGATGTCATTCATTCACCCAAGCCGGGAACGCGCATAAAATCATCTTTTGGCGCACCGCACAATAAAAAAAAAAACGGGGGTGAGATGATCCGGATGGATTACACGAAAGAGACAAGACTTATAATATGTAGGTATGTGCCAATTCGTCGGCACGATTTGATGACTTGCTGACTTTCCCACTCTTACAAGATTATCGGGGCATGTTTTCCCCTCTCTCCCCCCTGAACTTTGTCGCCCGTACATAGTCCCCAGTCCATCCGTCGACTGCGTCTGTATGAAACAAAGGTCCGAAGGGATCATTAACAAGGATGATCGTACAGGAATAAATTGTCAGGATCATCAAGGTCCGTCCGGCGTACCAGGATTAATTGAACTCGACTCTTTCTTCACACCTGCTACATAGTGAAAATTGTAGCCTTAGATAATTCGATAGAGGTCGACCCAAAGTGGGAATGTTCAGGACAGGATACAATATATGAAGGAGTATAGACAGCTTCCAAGAATATCAGGTTCCTTAGAATGTCACAATAATTTGGTAATTCTTCGGTGGCACAAGAGGCACAGAACTCTAAAAAGAGTCTGGAATCGACAATGAGATTGGACCAAGTTCAAAACCAATCGAATTGGTCAGGCAGAGTTGACCCGCTTGAAGCGTTAACATGGACATCATTTTAGGTTACGTTGCCGAGCGTGCGTCTATACGAAGTAACTTTCATTTGCTTGAAGCGCTGAATAGATCCTGGGCAAGAAGGTCTCAGAAACGGCCACACCAGAGTCGATCACAGATAGCGTGCATCAATATCATGTCGTACCTTGTTCCATGGCTTTATTTCTTCAACAAGAAGGTCGAGAGAGGTGGTCGCGCCAACCACAATATACTTTCCAATGTCAGGTGTTCGACAAAAAGAATCCCAAGGTTACTTCGACTTCTTATTAAATGCTGGATCCATGGTTTTGTTTCCGACTCTGATGATGAATTAAGAAGAAATCGCCGCTCGTACCAAGGAAATCAAGGAAAGCCTTATCACTGCCGGTAGATACCGGTCACATACTACTACTGTAACCTCATCATTGTTGGCTTTCCAACGTTGCTCGCCCAATCTGGAGTAAAAGTTTCGCCTAATTGAGAAAGGACACATCATTGTCAAATTATTGCTTCGTATTGACTAACGATTATTTACTTTCGCCCGCATGATTCCGGATATCACTATGCACCAAACACAATCAAAAGAGTATTAGACGCGAACTCGACGAGATTATCAATTTGTGCGCCTTTCGATTTTGATGATACCCGA